AAATACCCTTCCGATCGCCACCTCTACCTTTGGCATGTCGTTTATTTGGATGGGATATTTGTGGTGAGTAATCTTACGTGGCGTAGAGCTCATGTCACGGCTGGGTGACCTGACAGGAATCCAAAGGGGTAAACGTAAAAGTTTTGCAGCGTTTTCGTTGAGGACAAAGAATTTGACTCTAATTTGCATATATATAGGTGAAAGTAACGCGATACTGTTAATAACCTGAGTATCAAGCCTTTCTTAGCAAGAGGGTAGGGGTAGGGGGGAATTGCAGAGGAAGGCCTTTTCTTTGCTGGGTGCTTCCTCCTTCTACCTCGCGAGTGAGAAAAGTCTGATACTCAGGCTATTCTGTTAACGTCTCAGAAAAAAATCGTGACCGAAGAGCAAGTTGGAGATGATTTTCTGGAAAAAATGGTTTGTTTCATCATCAAATTCAAACAGCAGTGTGGTTTGACATGATATGACCTTTTTTTTCTTAAGCTCTACTGAGTGAAATTTTTGTGACAGAAATCAGGATTAGTTCCATGAAGGAAACAATTTTTTTTTTTTTAGAAAGTACTTTCTGCGTCCTTTCAAACGAAAACTCACGGTTATCTATAATGGAGTGAGTCAAATACAAAGTGTTAGTTTAGTTTACTTAGTTGAATGTTCGGATAATAACCACGATAAGATGCCCAAGTTATAGGAACATTATGAGTGGTATAGTTTGCAAAAAAAAAAAAAGACATATAGAAGTTTTAGTTCATACAATAATGTTTAATTGTTGTAGAAATAAACGAAAGCGGGGGCAGCTTTAGTGAAAACTATTACTAGTTTTATTTCAGAAAGTCCCAACCAAGTCCGCACTGTGCAATGGGATCATGTTTATTCCTTGAATTATACGCATGTGTCAACACTACACCACAGTAATAAACTTTCTGCTGCTTCGCAGAGAGCTCTATCAAAAATTTCTTGAAAGAAAATGTTTTTCGCCATCTCTAACAAAAATGTTGACTAGATGTTATGTGGTGAAAAACAATAAAACAGGCTTTTTCTACCTTTTGACAAAAAAACATGGGTTTTTGACCAATCAGAGCGCGCGCAGGGTCCTATCTATATTAGAAAAGGTTTTGCACGAGGAGCAGAGGCACACGGTAAACTCGGAAATGGCCATTTAAAATGTAAAAAACTCTGAATCTAGCGTATTGATATCTATTTAGACTTACCAGTTGTTTTTTTAATTTCTGGTCGCATGCAGATTCCTCCATATCCAAGCCAAGCTACACTGGAACAGAAAATGCAAGATCAAGCCAACTGGGACTCGTTCAGGACACAAACCATTAATACTCTTCTAGATACACTTCACTTATGACACATCATCACTTGTTATATGAAGGGCTGTATGAATTAGAACTAATTTAATAATTGGCTGAAAAAATTGAGAACAAACAGAGTATACGGATTAACTGTCGAGTTTTTAAATAAGACAGGTCGTTCTTCGTAAACTTATAACTGGGAAGACAAGCATAAGTCTTTAACATCTGTTACATATATGAAACCGAATACCATATATTAATACTCGTTGTTAAAACGTTTATTGACTTAGTTCCCGCCCTGTTTCCCACCGCAGGAAAAAGACCCAGGTTACGTGGTTGACATAGCTTGTCGAGTTTTCAAGAACAGGAATAAATGTTCGAATACTTTATGATTTTGACCTGTGTTTCAAAGCTGTTCAAGCTTGTTGAGAAACCCGCTTGGTGCAAACACCTTAAACTGTCTTTCTTAACTGACATGGTTATGTAACACACGAATGCATTGGAGGTTAGTGGTATTGATTTATACTAAAATAAATGCGTCAAAGTACAAGGTAAATATCTCCGACTCGCGAGGCCAGGCAGCGTTGAATTTAGATTGGTATAAAAAATAGTCAATTAACCAATTAAATTTTTACGAGTACCAAACATAGTATTTTAATATTGACAATATAAAATTTTCGAACGCATGCGCTGTACAACGCATTGATAGTGAGATGTGTACAAATGTATATAAAAACAACTATTTTCAAGTTAACAGATTTTCCGTTTATTTATTTTTAAACTATGAATTCAATGTTAAAGTTATGGGAGATCTACGTACCTATGGTTATATTTATGTTTCTACATGCAATAAAAAGGAGTATTTTAAACTACTCGTATCATTGTAATACTTCACACAAAAGGTTGAGAAGACAAATTTATTTCACTAATATGAGAATCAACGTTCTTATAGGCCTTTTAGCAAGGAGCACGCTTTTCCTTGCTAGAGTAACCAAGCATTTAAATTGTAAAAAAAAAAATAAGAAGAAGAAAATAATAATAATAAAATAATAATAATAATAAAAAAACAGTTATCCCAGCTGCCAGAGTCAAAAATTGGCCATCAAGATCTTTTGCATTTTCTAGTAACCAGACACGTCCTTGGTAGGCGGGCAAAAAATAGCCAATTGAAGGCGTTAGCACAGTATAAATTAAAAAGATTTGTTTCCACTCTTAAGTGTCGATGACAGACCAATTTGCATCTGAACTCAATTTCGACGCTTAGTAACCCTTTATAGTTTTTTAAAGCGCGTGACCATCCCGCACGGGGGTTTTTCCAAGCGAAAACACACCGCTGCTGACTCTTAGTGGGAATCGAGCAAGTGCGTATACAAGGTGATTCTCTTGTTATGTCAAAGACTCCTTTCTTCATCGGTCTTAATCGATCGAATTTCCTCTTGCATGATTCGTATTCACTGCGGTCATTCGGTATTCTAATGGTACGTAACTGCTACGAAGTTGAAGCCTTCGCACCTATCAACAAAAAAATGAATGCTGTATTACTTATAGAAACAACATTATTCGCAGCTGTTAGCCCTGAAATTCCTATTTATCAGTGGTAAATATACTTACATTCGACTTTGTGGCTCTCACATGGCACTTTAGGTGTTTTTAGAACCAAGCAGGTTCCACTCTCCTAGTAGTCACAGAACGCTGTTTAAGTTGCATGATTTTCAGCATAAAAATCTCCTGAATCTATCAATTCGAAAAGACAAATAGTTTAGGTTATTATTTTTTCCTAGCTAAAACTAACCAATATTTGGGTTAAGCATAGGTCTTCTCAAATCCATTAATAATTCATCCAGTTTAAACAAAGAAAATCTTGGCCGTGACGGCCATGATTGGATATCTTATCTTAATTAGCATAGATATTTAAGATTCTATTTCTTCGTTTCCTCCTCAGTTTGAGTTTCGATTGAAAAGATATATCAATGCAAATACCCTTGACCGTGTTTGGCCACATTTTTAAACACCTTGAAAAATACTCTGCTACGCGTCGTAGCTTCGACTCTCTTCACGTTGTTTGGAAATCTGGTCAAACAATGTCTTTCGTGTTGGATATATAACCTAAAAAAAAAATTGTAGTGAAAAAAGCGCGCACTTTTAGAATGAACCATGATTGGTTTATAGTTCTCAAAGTCAGCCGCTGACTAATCACAGTCCCGTTTTAAGTAGAACTTAGTCTCCTAGAAGTATGGTCTCCTTGAAACTTATTGTGCTTACAAAGCCGTTATAACTGCACTCATTTCAGTAGAGATAAAGAACAGTTCAGAAGTTGCTGGCCTAGACCCCGTCCCCACTACGCTAGAGGAATTTGAAAACATAAGTTTCACTCTGAAAACGCTTCACATGTTTTCCGTCTACATTACACCGGAGGAATTTAAAAACATAACAATNAAATCTCCTGAATCTATCGATTCGAAGAGACAAATAGTTTGGGTTATTATTTTTTCCTGGCTAAAACTAACCAATATTTGGGTTAAGCATAGGTCTTCTCAAACGCATTAATAATTCATCCAGTTTAAACAAAGAAAATCTTGGCCGTGACGGTCATGATTGGATATCTTATTTTAATTAACATAGATATTTAAGATTCTATTTCTTCGTTTCCTCCTCAGTTTGAGTTTCGATTGAAAAGATATATCAATGCAAATACTCTTGACCGTGTTTGGCCACATTTTAAACACCTTGAAAAATACAACTCTGTTACGCGTCGTAGCTTCGACTCTCTTCATGTTGTTTGGAAATCTGGTCAAACACTGTCTTTCGTGTTGGATATATTACCTAAAAAAAAATTGCGGTGAAAAAAGCGCGCACTTTTAGAATGAGCCATGATTGGTTTTATAGTTCTCAAAGTCAGCCGCTGACCAATCACAGTCCCGTTTTAAGTAGAACTTAGTCTCCTAGAAGTATGGTCTCCTAGAAACTTATTGTGCTTACAAAGCCGTTATAACTGCACTCATTTCAGTAGAGATAAAGAACAGTTCAGAAGTTGCTGGCCTAGGCCCGTCCCCACTACGCTAGAGGAATTTGAAAACATAGGTTTCACTCTGAAAACGCTTCACATGTTTTCCGTCTACATTACACCGGAGGAATTTAAAAACATAACAATCACCGGTCATTGTGGATTTATGTTTGAAAATTGCTCGGGCAGAAAAATCACATGATTATCGTGAGTGTCATCGTGTTCAAAGCTCCGTTTTCAAAATGTTTTCCGTCCATACGAAAACGAAAAGCCGGCGTTTTCAAATTCCTCCGATTTGAAGAGCGTTTTCGAAAAGCTCCGTTTTCGTGACGGATTAGTGTGGACGGTAGGCCTAACCGTAGGAATAAAGCTTCGTTTTCAAATTTCTCCGCCGTAATGTGGACGCTGCCCTTGTCTTCTTGTCCGCATCAACTTAAATAGCAGTCATATCCGGGGCTTTGGAAAATAAAATAATGGACACGGAGTAACCGGTTATTACCTGTTTGTTCAGCGCGCAGTGAAATACAAATATCATCAGACCTTGCAACGAGTTCGAGATGGCAAACATGTATTTGAAGAATATAGTATCAGAGTTGAAAGCCAGGAGACCGAATGTCCACGTGATCCCGAGCAACGGAAGGGAGACGATGGCCGCCTTTATGCCCGCGCGGATTTTCTGAAGTTGAGTTCTGGCGAGCATGACATGTGTTGATAAAGCTTTCTTCACTACGATGATGAGTAAAATTATGTTGATCTGAAAAGAGAAGGTCAGCGGTAAAGAAAGTCACGTGGTCATCTAACTGACGTAATCCTCATCTCAATGGGTCATTTCCTAGTTGCCCTTACCTTTGCTTCAAAACAAGTCTTGGTGCACAACCTTTTATATTGAAATGAGATTCTCTAGCACGTTCATTGTCTTGCAACTTCATTTCCATATGAAAGGTTATGCATCAGGACTCGTTTTGAAACAGAGGTAAAAAGCAACTTGAAAATGGTTTATTCACTTAGTAATTTGTGATATAAGAATCTAGTCCACTCTTTCTCATCCAACAATAAATGAATGCTGTTTGACATGGTTAACAAAATGGTTCTAACTTGTGAATCTCCGGGAAGGGAAGCCCACTGATAAGAGATACTATAGCTATCAGCTACAAGGTGGCTTAATACAAGGTGGTTGGTTTGAGTCTTTCAATGAAGCCCTTGGTAGTCTTACTTTCAACCTATGGATGGAACTCTAATGCGTGAAATTTCAAATAGAATTGTAGAAATAAACACCCAAATGTTCTGATCCTGTCACGAGGTGAACTTGGGTCTGACGTTTGGCTCCATTGAAGTCGTGTAGTTTTTAAGCAATGTAACCAGATAAACCAGACTCTATTGGAAAACGGAAGTTTAAACATTTATAAAAAAGAAATGAAGCTCTATTCAACACGAAATGAAGCTACATCCTCCACTGCACGGTATCTTGCTAGTCTGTTGGTCAGTAATTATGCACAAAATCACACAATGTTCTTATTTACCAGTAGCACGACCGAAGCAGGGGCGACAAATAACCATATCAAACCATTTTCTACCGTCAGCCAACAAGTTCTAATCTTTGAAGAGCCACGCCCATAACCTTTGCCACGAGAAACGCCTAATGCCACTATTACAATAACTGCTGGGACACCTAAAAAAAAGTGAAATGTAAATGCTATACATAAGCGAGGGTAAATACGTTGACGGGCACAAAATTCAATTTCGATTGCAAATATATTGCAAAAAAAGAGTAAAATGCATCTTCTGCCCGGCCGGGGCGAGGTTTCAAGAACCATTTTCATTTCTCTTTCTTTGCTGTGTTTGTTTCTTTCTATGCCTTTTTGGAGGTATACATGGGTGAAGGGGACCATGCAAATCGAGATGGTAGTATTTATTTTAAACCTTTATGTTATATTTTAAACATAACAAAGTTGACAGTGAGGCATATAACGAATCATCTGATTGTTAGATGCGTCAAAGCGGCTACCGCTAGAGACGTATAATTAGGATTTACGTCAGCAGAACGAAAGTCGAACTTTTGAACTGATGGAAAGAAAAGAAGTAACAGTTTCGGATTCCACAATTCTTAGGGGACTGAGTCACGGCTGAGTTTAGTCTATTTTATTAAACTTTAATTTGCAAAATATTCGCTGTGAAACCTAATGTAAGCGAAAATATTACTTTTCTGGATCTAGATGGTCCTAAATGACAAAATCATAGCTTCACAACAAACATGCCTCCCGAGCAGTATAATTAAGGGTGATTAACAAAAGGGAGTAACTTTGAAAACTGTTTATCCTAACAGTTTTTCAAAACCTCATATCGCAATCCGTTTTAATCTTCTTCAATTTTTGTCCACCCGTACCTTCTTTTGTATTTGTTGCGTTATTGAAATGATCCTTCACTGTTTCAAGAGGTTATTGTTACATTACTGGTAGCCATGTTCTTATGTCTAAATTTGGCTAGAATCTATGACATAGTTCCTTTAACTACTCACCCCAGCCTAGAAGATAAAAATATTTGATCTTGTCCTCGTGATTTGCGGCCATGACAGTTGTGACGCAGTAGAGCAAAATTCCTTCACAAAGCATCCAACAGAAGGCAGACAGTAACGTGAAGTGCAGAGAGACTGCAACCAGTTTGCAATAGGTCTAATCATTGAAAAAAATATATATTTACCTGGTGTCAGAAGTCTGTTAACCAGTAAAATATCACATGTGTTTGTCGGTTATATTGTGTTGCATAACGGTTTGGACGTCTTTAAATACTACACTGCTACATCTTACATTTTAAAGGCCTTGTGGCCTTTACCTATCGCCCTTTTAAGGGTTTTCGGGATATGGGTATTTAGGTAAAAAATACGGCATACAGGATAATTCCTTCTTCCGTCTGCAATGTCATATTGCCCTCTCTTTCGTAATAGTAATCCTCCAGATCTCCATGATTGTGTCAATGCTAATTCCGAAAATGTGGCAGTAGCCAGTATACCCGTGTGGGCAACATCTCTTCCAGTTGCTTGTTTTACTTATTCCTATAGCTATCTGACAGTGAATTTGTCTGGTTTCACTGATACTTACAATCATTGCAAGGATAGTGTTTAGACATCAGGGCCGAGTTTTTCAAAAGCCAATCAAACGCTAACCCAGGTTTAAAAGTTAACCAAGGTATTATTTTTTCTTATGTATTTTTTTTTTTTTCACTTGTTATGTTTTGTTTTGTTTGAGGCTACTCAAACTCAAAACGGCAGGACAAACATTATAAACAGAAAACCTTAGAAAAGTTGGAAAACTGAAATAGTTTTTAGAGGGAAATGGTTATGAAGCCCGTCAAACATCAAAGGAGCAAACAAAGATGCCAAGATTTATGTTGGAAGGTCCATGACCGTGTACAATCTTTTGTTTTTCGCTCATACATTATGCATGAATTACGTAACCAAAACGTTTCTATTGGCTAGTTCCTCAGTGCGGAGTAAACAACTATTGTGTTTTATGCACGTTCAAGGCCAAAAATAAAAACCTAAAACAAAGAAATTTGTCACGTTTCATAACCTTTTCCCTCTATTAATTATGTCCTGGGTAATCGGGCTTTGAACAACCTGACACAGCACAGTACAAACCTCGCTTTCTCGAGCTCTATCAGCGATAATAACCAAGACACAACTTCCGGCGAGAAAGAAGCATAAGTGTAGTAAGACCTTTGTGCGAACGGACTCGAGTTTCCTCCAGAAGATTAACGTTACTAGGATAGTGCAAGTTAAAGCCGCCAGTGACACTGAGCAACCTACTGTGGATATCAGCTCCAAAGCTTGCCGATGGCTTCCTGAAATCTGAACGCGTGCACATTGAAAAAAGTGACTTCTTTAAGATGGTATAAAAAAGAAACGTGTTCCTTGTTGAGAATGGAAGTGGAAATCATTGCTGTGGGTTAAAGTTAGTGTTAGCTTGGCACATTTTTAGCCCTCTACAGGATCAGTATTCTAGTTAACCAAAAATGTATGAATTCCTTCATCGAGGCAAATTTTGCTCGTTAGAGGCTAAGAATGGTCAATTGGACAGAATTATGGAGGAAAAGAAAGTTTTGGAGCAAATTGAGGCTTTTCTTTAATAGGAAGTTATAAAACTTAAAAGTCGTTAAAACCAAGAAAGAAGTTTAGCCAGCACTATGGTTCAAAAGTTAATTACTACGCCTTCTTAAAGTTACCCTAGGGCTAAATATTCTTAATGTTTTGCTGAAACTAGTTTAAGTAACAGCTTAAGACAGAAAATAAAGATAAATCTCCATTGATACCGGCATAAGATAAAGAAATTATGGGATACATTTATCCTGTTTGTCTTGGTTTGCTCATTTTAAAAAGCCAGTAAAATATATCATTTTATGAACAACCAATGAGATCAAGTTCCTGACATTAAAACTTGACTGCAAGCAATTCCCATTTCCGAAGAAGATTCCAATTCTTTCTTACTTGAACAGCTACTTTGTTCCATGACTTCATAGTGGAATATAATGAATGTCTCTCTTCGCTGTTGACTCACCTCTACGTTGTATGGATCCAGAAGAACAGCGAACAATGTAAAATGTGTACAGCGGCAGGTCGTAACTTCATTAGTAGATTCCTCAGGTACCACGTGACATCCACGTGATGACCATGCATTTAATGGGTTTTCGTATTCCCAGAACACACACGTCCTTTTTGACTGAGAAGATGGGCTCTAGCAAGAAAAAAATGGAAGCAACAATTTTTTTATAAAAAAAAGTCGACCTTATATTATCTGCCGAATTAAAACAATCCCAATAATGAGGAATTTTTTGTGGATCCCAATCGTGATTATGTCGCTACATCTCTTTTCGTCATGTGCGTCTGAAGTTGAGTGCCTCCCGGGAGGAATAACACGTTCCCTTAATCCCCTGAAAATTTCACTTTTTCTCCCTTGTTCCCTAAAATTTTTCCTCAAAGTTCCCTTTCAGTAGAGATATGATCCCTTGTTCCGTCAAATTAATCCCCAAAATATCACTTGTTGACTTAAAATAAATGATCTTGTTCCCCAAAACCCCTCGGAGTCCCTCCTCGTTTAAAGAAAGGAGTTAAAATTAATACGAGAATGATCCAAATGTTTACATTTCGGCTAAAAATTCCTCTTTAGCAAGAGAAAATAGAATTATAGATTCTTACATATCTGTTCTGTAGAACAATTTTAACCGAGGTGTTTAGGGTTTGTTGACGGCTTCGTCCAACAGTACTTGATGCAATGACAGATTGAATGGAAACACGATCACAGGGTGTTGAGGAATCGTTACTGCGCATGTCTGTAGTGTTTTTTATTCCCAGTGCGCATGCCTCAAGTAATAACACTTGATTTAGAGTGTAGTAGATGACGCTAACTGCTCCAGAATATGACGGCTCGTGGAATATTCCTCCAGGAAGGCACATTGAGCTGTGTTGATGTACGAAGCAAGATTCATCCTTCAGCTCCTACACGTAGGGAAAACAGTCCAAATTAGCTTAATCTGATATTTTGATATTTTCCGTTAATTTGTCTGACACGAGGGAACGTGTTTTACCACATTTCCAAACATCCACAAGCAAGAGAGATGAGAATACTATACTTGACTCTCATCTCGTGACGCCAAACAGAGCATTTTTGAGGTGTTTGGAAATGTGGTAAAACATTTTCTTGAGTGTTAGATTAATCTTCTCAATCGAAACTAAGTTAAGGAGGAAACGTAGAAGTAAAATCGTAAAAATCTAGGCTAATTAAAATGAGATATCCAAACAGTGTCACGGTTATGATTCCCTTTGTATAAAATTAAACTGGTTTGAGAATTTAAAATGTGTGACACTTTGCTAACTATTAAAATCCTCCCTTTTAAAATTTTAAAAGGTAGCAGGTATAGTTGAGCCCCTTTCAGCTGAAAATGAAAATATTTTCTTGGCTCTAGAACCTAAAATATATCGTTGGACGACTCTTTGATTCTCTGCCTTCCCATTCAATGTTGTAAATCAATGGTGCCCACAACACCTTAACATGACGGTTTGGCTTGACTATTGTCGCTGCAAGATTCTTCGTCAATGCGGTGACGGATATATCATCTCTTTCCATCCCACTCGCGATGTGTAAGCCATAGTCATCCAACATCTTAATCAACTTTGAGACGACAATGTTAGGACGAGTCTGAAAGATTAAAGACAGCCGGATGGTCTTGATTATATTTACGATACTGTCGCAGTTCAGAAACGCAAAACACGAATTCTTCTTCTATTCTAGGTTTTCCTTTGTGCCGTCGTGGGGACTAAACTGAATACACCCCTTGATTTTAAGTGTCTGAAAAGCTGGGTGACTTTCATGGCAAAAGGCGCGAGTGGGTTTGATATTCCTCTGATCTGACATAGTACCCTGTCTTAAATTGCCCTGACACTTCCCCTCTATTATATTGACATATTCCCCTCTATTATATATTGACATATTCAGCCCCCTCTAATATGTATTGACAGGAGCCAATGGGCTCCTGGTATTTACATATTCTCCTCTATTATGTCCCTCTACACGCCAACACTTAACAGCAAGTCAACAAAAGAAATGTATTCGTTTAACTTTCCAAATTCTTGGATTTGAATGCAACAGAGCAATTTGTTAAATTAAAAACATGCAGACGATCTCTATCTCATAACAAACTGATTGGTCATCTGGACATTGTTCTGTGTGTTCAAAGCTATAGCAACCCATCAATAGCTTCTGAAACGCTAACCACAACTCCGCCTTATTATAAGCAGCTCGAGGTTGTTCAGTCACTAGCAGTTTACCTAACTTAATGCTTACCTTAAACACACGAATAAAACTGTTATGCGAAATAAATAAGTGTTCTTCCGAGTCATTCATGTCTTCTGATGTTGGAGGAAAAGAACTGTCTAAACACGATGCAGAACATGTACGAGTACAATGTAAATCCCAGTGCGTGCTTTTGTCATCTTTATTGATCTTTATTCGATTATTTTGCATACGAAGCCGATACGAAAAAAATACATGCCGACATTTGGAGTGAACAAAAATATTTCTTTTGTGACTTCTGTGTCAACCTCGCCCATGCAGAATACAAACGGGACATTTTTAGACACCTCGTGGAGACACGATTTATTCACCTCGGACTTAGTCTCCTACGCAGCCGTTTGGTGGGATGTCACGCAACGCTCCCCCAAAGAAACGGCTGCTCCGAACCACATTCTTTTCCTTTTGTGTTTGTGGTTTGTTTGCGCTCTGCTGAACAAACCAATCACATAATAGCAAAGTGTGGATGACGTAAGCTTTCCCGCGAAAAGGCCTGGGGTGCGACCACGCGAGGGAATTCTCACTTTTGTTTCACGCCGCACGTCGCCAAAAATAGGCGGTGTTCGCAGGCTACGATCATGATGGACGAAAAAAAAAGGTAAGTGAAAGCCCTAAGTACAAGTGCTTCATGAGCTCATCGCTATGTTCAGCTAATGAGGGAATATATATTTTCTGGAAATGTCAAATTGTAAGTGTCAGTCAAGGGCTAAACGCCTCCTACAGATTGGAATCAGGAGGAAAGAGAAGCATTCAGAACTTGCTGTCAACAAATCGGGCAAAGCTACTTGATTTCCTGATTCCTTTATTAAGTTAAAATAGATATCTTCCTACTCAACAATAATTTTTTGAGTTGAAAGCTTCTAATAATTAGCTTGAACTTTGAAGAGTCTTCAGCTACATAGAAAGCTCGTTCAAGAGTCGCCGGTATTTTTCGGCGTCCCTAAACAAAAGCCGGAAATATGTATGTTCATTTGTGACATCTCCCACGACGGGATACAAAGATAAAAAACATTCTCTGATTAGACAAGTTTCAAAGAGCGAATTTGGTGCGAAAACGTTCTTGAAAATGGAACGGAAGCGGTGATTGGCTAATTTCGTGAAAGGAATGTTGTGCGGATGTGAGCAGCCGTTTCTTTGGGGGGAGCGTTGCGTGATAACCCCCAAAAACGGCTGCGGAGGAGACTACCTCGGACTAGGCCGTTGGTGAATAAATCACGTATCTCTCTGTTGCCTCAAGATAACCCTTATCTATTGATTGCCAGACCTTTTTATCAAATATATGTATTTTTTTAAAAATTTGCTGTTCTCTGTGATTAAGGGAATTTTCCCCAGCTTTTGGTTTAACCTCAACCCCTGCGTAAGGTCGTCTTCTTGCCGTGTTTTCCTGCCGATCATTTGCCATATAACTGATAAAATTGGCAAGTACTTTATGACAGGGCAACGGATAGTCGCCCTGCGCTGCAGTTTGCTTCCCGTCCCGTGGACATTTATACACTGCTGTTTGCTTGCGGCTAGCATTTAGTTTAAAGGTAGGGCGACTATAACAAGAAGATCTGTTAGATCTTATAACCGCGCTTTTAAAATTTAACTGTTTTCTTAGNTCGGCAGTTTGACATACAAGCGAGGCGAAAGGCTCAATTTAGCCTTGTGTTGACCCGTTCGCCTCGTTTGTATGCCTTTTTAAACAAAGGAATATTTGACCACAGGCTCAACTGCAATAACAGCTATTGGGTATAAAGAAGAAGCTACCTTTTCACCATTATCGATAAGACCATCAACAAAAGCCCTTAACAAATTATGATTACGGTAATTTTTAAAACACTCGTCTGAACTAGGGAACTAATTATAAGGCAGGTCTGAAACAGGGTATTAATTTAAGGGCCAGGTTTTAAATAGGGTATCGAATTTTTGGTCAGGTCGCACTGATAGGGCAGGGAAAATTGCAGATTTTGGTCATAAATAGGGTAAGGGTTTTACGAAGCGGACCGCACACTCCCACCAAATTTTTCTGGGAGTACCCCCCGGCAAACAAGCAGTTCTCACCTTGCTGTCAATTTCTCCCCAAGTCGCTTTGTTTGCGCTATCCAGTAAATTGCTGGCTATCTTGTAAACAGATGTGAAATTCATTTCACTCGAAGTGTTGTTTCCATTAGCTTTTTGAAAGTCCACTAGTCGTTGAAGAGTATGCAGGCTTCTCATAAGCACTGTTTCGCTCAATGTCCTGTTATCTTGAGGCATGGTAATGTTACTGAGTTCTGTCATGACTTCACTTGCATTTTTTTCTTGAGGAAACTGAGATAGAATCACAAAACAAAAACAAATAGCTGGCGTTTCAGAAGGGCAGAAATAATAATGATAATAATAACTCCACTAAATGACAAAAACTACCAAAAAAACCCAGTAATTTACATTGTGATGCGAATCAAATGATCAAATGTATCAAATGATAATTAAGATATAGGTATATAGAACCCCGCCCAAATTGACCTTTTTAGCTCGGGCGGTTTTTTGCCCCATTTCAGACCATGTGATGACAATCTTGTGAATTTTTGTTTTGAATTCTTTTGTTTTTCACGAGTATATAAATGTATGATTTTTAGATGAATAAAAGAACAATTCTCTAGACACTAGTATCACGTGGTTTGTAATGGAAAAACAAACCGTCCAAGCTAAAGAAATCGATTGAGTAAAGCCAAAACTTGACGTAAGCCCTTCAAGTCTCTTGTCAAGAGAGATTTTATACACTGCTTTTAAGGTCTGTCATTTAAAAATTAAATTCTAACCGGTTTTATTAACCACACACCTTCTCCATGATTTTATTAATCGTCTTCGATAAATGACAGCCCGTATATATACCATTTATCCATTCACCATCAGCGTTTTCCGGTAGTTGTGCTAAAAAAAAGGGAAAAGGAAAATGCACATTGATATAAAAGATAAGCTATGACTCCACAGCTTTATAGAAGCACGAAAGCCGCGATTATTGTCAATCGCTGACAATGAAACTGTTTTTGGCCCTGGAAACCGATAGCATAAAGCCTTCATGAGATAAAAATATAAAACTTCTGTTACGTACTCCCCTACTTGCTTCGAGATTGAGATGGTTAGAACACGGTCTCGTGGAACGTGACAGGCTAACCTTGGCAACGAATGCTCTCAGGCCAGTCACACGTCCTCAGAGTTCTGTTGAACATCAAACCAAGAGGACAAAACCTTCGTTGAGGGATGCCGCTGGAACAGCGAATAAACTTGCAGCAGTTGTACGGGTCTGGGTACCTTCCATCGGCGTTTTCTTGACAAAAAGTATTTTCTGTGAATAAATTGAAAAGACAACATTTTTTCTCCGTCCACTGTAGCGTTATTATTGTTTGAAAGAAAAAGCATTGCCGCGAAAATTGACAATTATCATTATTATTTATTTTTTTTCGTAATTTCAGTCGTCATTTTCTCGGATCATCAAGATTAAGGCCTCGTTCACATTTCGCCGGAGAAAATTTGACATAAAATTTGAAAACGTGTTTGAAAATGTTTTCCATGCAAATTACGCAGGAGAAATTTGAAAACGCAACAATCACCGGTCATTTTGGATTTTTGTTTGAGGAAACCTCGGTCAGGGAAATCACGTGATTATCGTGACGCCATCATTTTTGAAAAGCTCTGTCTTCAAAATGTTTTCCGTCCACACTAAAACGCAAAGCCGGCGTTTTCAAATTCCTCCAGTTTGAATTAATAGCTAAGCTCTGTTCTTGTGAAGGATTATGGTGGACGGTAGGCCTAACCGAAGAAATAAAACTTAGTTTTCAAATTTCTGCGACGTAGTGTGGACGCGCGGGACCTAATCCTTGTTGCCCATGTTTCTACTAGAAACACCTTAGAAATACAAAAAAAAAAAATTCCCTTCATGATATGATTGCCATATATATCAGTACATTTTTTCAATTTTCAGTTTTACTCTAAACATTTTGTGTAATCACTTGAAAGTATTCCCAATCATAATTTATTTTTGTTTGATTGCTAAGCATTGATTGKCAAGCACTCGGGAAGTGTCAWAAGGAGAAAACATAGGTTGATTTGTTATATTGCTCGAAGAATATTGCTGGAAGGGTTGAAATGTATCTTTAAAGTAAAAGGAAGGGGTTTGTAGCATCTCAACAAGTGCTTTTAAATCATTCTCGGTTCCTTTTGGCACATTAAGGAAAAATCATCTGCTTCTGTGAATAAAGCATTAGACTGATAACTGCTTTCATTTTATCGATATCACACTAAAGACCGTAGACCTAGCGGCACGTACACTGCCATTTATTGACTGGCAAAAAAGCCGAAATGAAACCCTTACACTGCATAAGTTACCCCTATGCCTCGATAACCGAAAATCTTATTTTGAAAATCAGAACTAACTTTAGAATTGTACATATTAGTGCGCCAGTTAATTTAGCAAACTAAAAAACAGCTATTACACTTTTACGTACTACATTTTACAAATTAATAGCTTTATGTGTACCTCAAAACAAACAAACTTACCGTCATTGTTTTCATGTGGTGAAGAACTCATATTGGAGAAAACCTACGATGATTAAACAGAGTAGTAACAACCAAAAAGAAAAGAAAAAGAGATTTCAGCACAGCAATAATCAACATTGGATGCGAAAACGTACAAGGCGGAATTTTTGCAACGCACCGTAAATCCGCATACCAGTAAAAACAAGATAAGTTTCCAGCTGTACATCATGGCCTTTTTCATGTAGTAAAACCCGTGAAGAAGTTTCTTCTCAAAATATAATGTTTTCAGTTTAAGTGACGATATTTTGTGTTCACGCGACCTCTAAATCAACTTGCAGGCGGTTACGTATGTTGCTGTAAATACAATTTCCGTTTCTTGTTCTTTTTCCTTGCCTGATAAAACTTAATTTATCATGTTTAATCACGTATTCACTGACTTCAATAGGTGATTATAAGGCTTGAA